AGCAAGCAGGAGCAAGCAGGAGCAAGCAGGAGCAAGCAGGAGCAAGTGAATTAATTGTCAATGTGACGAGGTAATACCTACCTAGGTAGGTAGTCCTCACAACATTCGATGACTGTAAGAGCTGGTTATATTGTTCTGGTTATAGAGCCATATGGTGACCATCCTTTGGATTCATTAAGAGCATAAACGCAAGAGACAAGGAACATACCCCAACGTCAGGACCTTTTCCGCCGCCCGCCGCCCGCCGCCCGCCGCCCGCCGCCCGCCGCCCGCCGCCCGCCGCCCGCCGCCCTTTGTTTGATCTTCCTTGATAGCAATTTGCGCAGCCTGTGGGTGAGGCTCCCCTGACAACATGGCGCTCCCTCAGTTCCCAAGGCATTGCTGCGCCATTTCCTATACCCGATCAGAGCCCCCGTATCTCTTGAACTTCCCAATGCTGTGCCGTGCCCAGCCGTCAGCGACGTCAAGACGCGGGCGACGATAATGACGATAGTGAGGACTTTGAAGGCGTTGGTAGATCTTGATCCGGACAGTCTACCAGTAGCCACTTTCCAGGCCATTAAAACAATAGCGTTTTGGTGGCGGGCTGTCATACTCATCTCTTTTGCGTCTCAAACACGCTGTCGCTTCTGGGTCTGACTCATCGTCAGAGTCCATTTCCTCGTCGGTGACATCGTCCTGATTCTGCATCGGTGCGGCAAGTTCTGTCCCGGTGCCTTGTTCCTCCTCACCAGCCTTATCCACGGGCCTTTGCTCCTGGTCCTGCTCCTGGATCTGCTCTTGGATCTGCTCTTGGACCTGCTCCTCCCCACCAGCCCTATCAACGGGCCTTTGCTCCTGGTCTTGCTCCTGGTCTTGCTCGTGGTCTTGCTCCTGGACTCGCTCCTGGACTTGCTCCTGGACTTGCTCGTGGACTCGCTCGTGGACTCGCTCCTGGACTTGCTCCTGGACTTGCTCCTGGACTTGTTCTTGGACTTGCTCCTGGTCCTGGTCCTGGTCCTGGCCCTGGCCCTGGCCCTGGAGTTGCTCCTGGAGTTGCTCCTGGTCTTGCCCCTTGTCTTTCCCCTTGTCTTTCCCCTTGTCTTTCCCCTTGTCTTTCCCCTTGTCTTTCCCCTTGTCTTTCCCCTTGTCTTTCCCCTTGTCTT